CGTTGAAAGCCACAGTTAAAAACACACACGCACACACACACACACACCCCTCTTCATCTGTGCGGGTTAATTACATGGTTTCAAGAGAATACAAAGGGCCAGGGGTTCAGATGAAATTCTGGGTTGGCCCATATAAAGCGTCGAGTCAATTGTGTCATCACCACGTTCAAAGAACACAAGTCCCGTTGTGGGGGGTGGGAAAATCATGGAAAACCACCAAATGATTGGTTTCAAAGCAAGTTCACACCAAATGCCAACTGAATCAGGATCCCCTTGTCGGTATAAAGCTAGTGGCTTGGGTCTTTGTGGAGTCGAACGGTGAAGCAGCATGTTGTCCGCCAGCGAGACTCCCGTGGTTTCAAAGCGAGACGAAGCGTGCCTTGTTGCTGACAAAGGAAATGCAGGAAGTGTCCCACTCCTCGGTACGAAGACGGCAGGAAGTGCTCCCCACCAAGAACGTATATATGAAGACATCCGACGACGGGACGAGGTCATTGGAGTAGGTCTATAGAAGTCGTGGCATTCCCGAAGAAGCTTTCATGACACTTAGAAAACCCGCCCAAACACGACACTCCATGGGACCTGCCATGATTATGCCGATCAATTGACCCCCTTTTCAACCACCCCTGGCCCGATCGGCAGTCCTATGGCAGTCCCATGGAGTCTCTGGGCAGGATCAACCATTTATTCAAAAATGGTCTTGGACTTCCAGGGGTGGTTGAACAGGTCAATATATTTAGGTAACTCTTCCATGTGTGTGTGTGTGTCTAGGTAGTGGTATGGATCTTCGCAGAAAAGCCCAGGGAGCCCCTTAAAAGCAGTTTATGCAAAAAAGACCTCAACAAGCACAGAAAAGACTCTCATGATGCTCCATGTATTTCTTGGGTCTTGAGTCTTGACCTCCCCAACCTCCCCACTCTCAGGAGGCGGAATTCCACGCTATTCCACAACATTCCATCATGGTGGGTAGAAAGTTCTTCCCCATCCGACTCTCTGGTCATTAGCGATGCACTTGTTACTACTAGGAACAAGAAGCTACTAGCAACAAGTGCCTTACCAGTAGTAACAAGAAGCTATTAATTTAAAGTTACTTCTAATAGCTTTTTGTTACTACTAGTCACTTGTTACTACTAGCGTGGCACTTGTTACTAGTAGCAACAAGGATGGTGGGTAGAAAGTTCTTCCCCATCCGACTCTCTGGTCATTCCATCTCGGGACGCATGGAGCTTCCATCCGCTGCACTCGTGCCGGCTTTCTTCTGGTAGCCTGGCGCGCCCAATCATCCACGGCGGCGAGCGGCAAGCGGCTAGCGGTCTTCTTCGGCACGTGGAGATAGCACGTGTTTGTTCCAAGGAGGGTCATTTTGTGGAGCCATTCTACTGGTACCAACAACAAGGAATTTAATTAACACAAATACCACAACTCCTTGATTTCTTCCCCTCCTAAAATCCCCTCCTAAAACCAACCCACGCATGGGATGGAGCGGACCACAACTCCTTGATTTCTTCCCCTCCTAAAATCCCCTCCTAAAACCAACCCACGCATGGGATGGAGCGGACTCACTGGCACTGCACTCTCGCACATCATCGCTTCGCCTGCATCGGCGCAGCGGTAGGCGAGCTCAAAGTCCAAGCCACGCCGTCGCAGGGAGCGCCACACGCGGCGGAGAAGGCCCTGAACCGTCGGACGGAGGCCCAATCGGACGACGGACGGTCCAACCTGGTCCAACCTGAACCGTGTGGAAGTGACCTCCTTCCATCAGTCGTGTTTTTTTTGTATGGCCGACTTCGTGTATTTCATGAGGTCATTAAATAGGGGTATAGATGACATGCACTATGACATGCAGCAATACTACGCATAGATGTTGTTTTTGTTATATTTATGTTTTCAATCTGATGTATACAGTGCTTATCATTAGAACTCTATGTTTTCGTGCTATCTGACACATCATGCATTTCAAATTCCAACAAATACTCCATAGAAGTCGAAAGACTTAAACATAGAAATAGGTAGTTCCCTTTCTAGGTACTCAAAAGACCCTTTTTACACTCTTTGACTCTCACGGAATACACGTGTAGACCGTGACACAACGAGCCAACGAATACTCTCGGCCAATCACCACCAGAGTCCCGCGGTGTCCGCCCGATGTCCGCGCGGTGGTTCACGCGGTTGTTCCACTCACGAGCTCCACCTGTACCAAGCAGAGCGAACTCAACGTGGCCATCGGTGTGGAAGGCCCCTCCGGCCTCGAGAGCCAGCGAGCAGGGAGCAGGGAGTGCGCGAGCTGCTCAGGGTGAGTGGTGAGCGGAAACAGAAAGTCCGCCTCCACCCTAAGAGCGATGGCGTATCAAGTGGTGTGGATGCAGTTTAAGTGGTGTGGATCATCATGTGTGGTACAATCACAATGAAGAGTCGAGGAACTCCCAAAACATCGGCAACCAGATCAAGCAGCAAGTCATCTTCCGAAGCCTCTTGCAGGTTGCGATGTTGCTTTGAGGGAGAACATCTTCTCTCGTCCACGATGTTGGACGTTTCATTGGTTCTGGTTCGACTCTGATCGTTGAAATGCCCGAACCGCACACAAACACAAAACAAATACTTTCAACATCTTCCAAGATTTGATAACCCAAAGGAGTTTCGTTTTGTGTTTTGCTTCTGAACCACCTTGTTACAAATCACGGTCCTGAACATCTTGAAATACTTCAAAAATCTTCAAAATCATTGCTCTCTTGCAGGTCTTCGAACCCATTTTTTTGTGTCTCCCCTCCCCAGCGGCTCCGCCAGATGTTGAGGGATGGCTCTTGAAGCGAAGTGCTTGGCTGGGACGTTGGCTGAAAAGCTGCAGCTCGCTCGGCTCGTGGCGAAAAACACTTCGACTCAAGATGACTGACTCGAGTCAGTTGTGAACCTCGGACCCGGCCAGTCGTCCCCACCAAAAGCCCTTTTCAGCTCGGCTCGGCTCGGCTTGCGGTCGGCGCCTTTGGGGAAAGATCAGGTCCAGCAGGTGCCGTTCGAAGCCTCGGACGAGCTCGGGACGTGGCACGCGGCGGTGGCGGTGTGCGAACGGGCGGGACCGCGGGACCGGAGGTTCGGTGGCTTGGCATGTCAAACATCGTGCAACCTCTCCTCTCTCCGTGTTTTGAACATCGAGTCGGTGAACCACACTCCACTACCCAGACACTCCATGGGACTGCCATATATGCCTACATTTGGGTGGTTTGGAGGGTCAAAGTAGGCATATATGGCAGTCCCATGGAGTGTTTGGGCTATAGAAACAAGGACACCGCGCGTTTCCAAGCGATGAGCGCCGCTATTACTCCACGTCCAAAGCTCCGAACGAACGCACCGAGGACGGAGCTTGGTCAACTCGGACCGCCACCGGTACCGGTCACCGCTTTGGAACTGTGTGATTCTTGGGCTGGCTGGGCCTAGCTTCTGAAAATTGCCTCGGTGTCAGCTGGAGCCCAATCTCGGCACCAAAGGATGACGCAAACGCTCGCTCCACCTTCACTTTCTTGCTCGGGACATTCGAGATATCCAGTATAAGACCCTCTCCATGTCCTATTTGTTTGCTTGAATGAGAAGGAGCGCAATTCAAACATTAACTTCATGAACTCTGCAGCTGACTTTGATTGCACCATGCGGTCATGCGGTCAACAAGTTGTTCAAATCGAATCGACTAGGCAGTGTCTGGCTTGTGATCATAGTGAATGAAGAAAACACCACTGACACTACCACTGACTACTCAACTACTCGATCAAAATCCATCTGGATTGCTCCCAGGAGTGTTCCTGAAGGACATCAAGTGCTCTGTACGGTATTTCTCTGAGGTCATGATCAAAGGGTGCCCTGAACATAAATAACCCTGTACCTGACTTCCGTGTCCGATGAATTCTCGCCGAACTCGTGTGGTGAGTACTCGCGGGGACGTTCGATCTAGGTGAGTACCTTGAATGCTTATGGGGGGGCCCCCAATTCCTCAGACATGGTGACCTGCGGGTGATCCACAACTGGGTAGGGGTGGAGTAGATAAAACTTGGACACACCATTGTGCATGATGATGAGTGGTCAGTCCTGTTGGTTGAATTTCCCGACCCTCAACGTTGGGAAACCAGTCCGTTGTAGAAATGGAGTGAATACCAGAGTTAATGTTTCTTAACTCTGGTGTCGATTCTTTGTCCTGGGGTACAGATCAGCATGCGCCTCAGTAGAACTGACTCCCAAGTTAATTCCTTGTGTCACCCCTGCTTCTTCCAGAAGCAACTCCAGAGTCAATTCTTTGTTGTTTCTTTCTGTATCGGACCTCTTCTGGACCCCTTGAAATTCCTTTCCTGCCTCCTGTACCCCTTGAAAACGAATTAGATCCAGAGTATTCCAGAGTCAATTCTTTGTCTGATGTGCTTGTGAGTCTTTTCTTGTACTGTGATTGTGAGTTTTGGTTACAAAATGGTTGCATGATGGATCGGCACTACGATAGTACGCAGCAAGTTCACGAAGAGGCTGAATAGCAACTGAATAAAGCCACATACAGGTTGAGGAGCAAAAGACAAAATAGAAGAATGCAAATAGAAGAAAGGATGAAGAAGGCCTCCCAGCGGCCGCCATCGAAGATCACTTCTCAAACCTCTCCCGGCTCCGGCTCTGCTCCGCGGAGCGCTCCGCAGCGGCTTGCGGCCCAGTGACGCAGCTGCGCGGCCCGGCGGCGCCAGGCGGATTGCAGCATCACGGCGGCCTTCTTCTTCAACAGCGCCTCCTGCGGCGCCTGGGCACGCGGTGCGGTGCAGGGAGACATGCTAGGTCGTCGAGGGAGCGAGTCGTGGGTGATGGACCCAGAGTGGGTTTGAGTCGTGGGTTTAGGCAACATGTGGCGGATTCGAAAGCAGCAGCGGAGTGTATACTTGGTGCCATCTTCTGCATCGCATGATGCGGGCATTGAACGTGGCGGCGCGATGATGGGGGCGCCACTGTGTGTACAAGCGGGTGTACCAGCGGGTGATTGATGGGAGGAGGGTAGCTACAAAGGGACTGAGACTTGAAGTGAACATATTGCCCAGACACTCCATGTATGGCATACTTATACATACATTGGCGGTGGTTGAAAAGGGGTCAATGTAGGCAGATATGCCAGTCCCATTAGTCGTGTCTGGGATATAGTCAGTTAAACATGAACTCAAGGTCACCTGGTCGCTCCGAAACTGCTCCCTTTTCGGCCTCCTTTTTAGGAAAACATCACTCTCCCAAATCCAAAGCGAAGCGGTTCTGAACCCAAACCAGATGGTTTTTGTTCACAGTGTTTGTGTCGAAGTCTGTCTCCTGCAGGTTCCAGAACTGGTTCCAAAGGCATCAAACATCTAGAAACCCTCAATTGGAGGGGATCAGGTGGGTTGTGTCTGCATTATCGGTTGTGGTTTTGGCCAGTATGTTTTCTGGGTCTTCCGGTGGTCAGCCTGGGCAAGCATGCGGCATGCGCCAGCTCGCACCATAATACGTGATCCAAGCATTGTCGACATTTTACGTCAGGAGTTTCTAGTTTGTTCTCCCCTTCTACCATAAGTGGGTTCAAGTGCATGGGGAACACTTCGCCAAAACCCTGTTGCACAATCATTGGCTTGAACAACCCCTGCACATATTAGGATTTGCTCAGGTTCTGTGCGGTGAATTAGATGTCCCTAACATCCCGAGGCCCCCGGAGGCCTCCATTTCGTCGATTTAGTCCTCTTCCATCCGGGTCAAACTGATGGCAATCCTGTTTCAAGTTGACCAAAAGCTATATATTCTCCTTTTGCTCAGAAAACCGACGACCTGCGACCTCCGAAACTCCGACGTCCGAAACCGCTCCGAGATCGCCACGTTGCCTGCGCCTCGGCCGCCACCGCCCCGCTGTAGCCGCGCGCACTCTGCGGCGCCTGCGGAAGATAAAGGCATCCCCTATAGCCTTCCGGTTCATAGACCCACAGGTATCCAGATTGTTTTGGTCTGAGCGCAGGGGAACTTTGTTGAGAATGTGGAGCTCTTTCCTCAAAGCGCTATCGTTGACCGCATCATGTTTCTGTGATAAAGTTTGTCAACTGCACAAGTTCAAACAATTTAAAACTGCAGGGCTGTGGAAAGTCACATATATGTCCTTAATTATAGCTTCAGAAACTTGCAGGAACACCTGAGTAGGCCCAATCAAAGCCTCGGGCATATCGATGCACTACCACCGTTTATATAGCGTCGCTTGTATCCCTTGCAGGTTGGCCATATCCGGGTTCGCGTGATTGGAGCTGTCAAGGTGGTAGGGCCTCGATGGAGCCATGCGCTCTTCCAAACTCCCGCCGCCGCAAACTTCTGTACCCAGACTTGACATAGCTTCAGTGCATCGGAACTATCCAAAAGTGGGGGTAAATCCGAACCAGGCCAATTTGGCCTTCTGATCTCTGCCACCAACTCAGAGTCTAGGTCACCTGATCACTGACACGGAGATACCAAATGGAACGAGGTCTGATCGAGGCACACACGTGGCGGAGCACCACGAGTTCGAGCCCGGATCCACCGTCGACGTGCAGTTCTGTCCGTGCTCGAATCAAAGGGCGTTTCTCCTCATCAGCTTTGGCATCAGCATTCAGGTTCAACGCTTCATGCACTTCGCCAGTGCTTCACACACTTGGGCTCGTGATCGCCCTCGCCCGCCCACAGCGTGTGGGGGTAGGTCGACCACATCAGCCAAGCAGGTCGATCCAGTTGACTTCCATCAAAGCCCGGCACTGAGGAAGGAGTGGGAGAACTGGTGTGCCGTCACTATGTATTTGTATACCTGGACCTATGTACACACATGGGTGTCCTAGCTGGAGATCCTTGGGTAGTGTATATAGGGTAGTCCAGCCAGGACACCCAAACACAGGATGGTCCTGGTATGTGCCCTGTTAAAACAAGTAGAATGCGATCTACAAGGCGTCGCAGGTTTTTGGCTGTGAAACCTGTGTGCAACGAATCCTTTTGGACTGGCTCACAAACCAAGGTTTCAAACATTCAGCCAACTCCTATAGAATATGTTTTGGTTCAGGATGTTGTCTTCAATTGGACCTCCTACAGGTACGAACAGCACAAACCCCAAGAAACCAAGAGACCGACACTGGGCCAGGCTCACTTCCCAACCAAAGCATGGTAACTGCTAGAAACCCGTTCAACCAAAACGCTAACTGAAGAAACCTGTGCCTTGGGTGAGTACTGCAGCGCTCGCTCCTGTTGGCGACGGAAGCACTCGAGGTTTCCAGTAGTTGCGGGGGAAGTCATAGATGTGAGGTTTAGTGTCACAAACATTTAAGAGGATTTGAGTCATGCATCCAAGTGTCCTGGCAGTTCTTTTTGCAAAGAAGTGATTCCGCATTGGGCTCAGATACAGTTAGGATACTGATCCAGTAGTCAAATGCACGTTCGTTTACTATCTGGATGCTCTTGGCAGTAAAGAAACGTCCTCACCTTCAGGCATTTCATGGCATGTCTGAAACTTCACCCTTTGATTATCCAAAGGTTGTCGTCCTTTTCCCAAAGGACAATCCCAATCGTCCAGTTCTTGAAGGCAAGAAACCCACCAGTCCACCAACACCCACCAGCATCTCTCCTGCATCTCCTGTAGTCTTTCCTCTGCAATCCTCAACTTCTCCGAGGTCTCCAAACAATGCGCGCACTCCATCCTCATCTCCTGATGCAGAAAAATCCACGGTGAGTTTCCACCCGATTGATCCATTGAGCTGTGAGATGCTGTGAGTTTCAGCTTTAGACTTGCGTCTAGTTTCATGGAGATCAGTCCAAATGATGTCCTTTTTGGAATAATAGAGGGGTTGATGTAAGGGATCCATTATCTGTAAACATACTTATTGGGTGCTCATGGCTGGGGGTATCCCCTCGATTAATCCACCAACCAATATATACTCTGCCTTCTATGGATCAGGAAAACACTCAAAAGCAAATGGATCTGACAGTGACCAGCATGATCAAAGGGCCTCCCAATGAGTTTTGTGATATGAGGCCTCTTAAGGGGTTCCCAATGGAGACCCCTTTGGCCCACCAATGTGGGGATCTCATAGAAATCAAAACTTCATGTCCAAATCCCTGGTTTCTCTGGTTTCTCCCTCCTCCCATCCACTGTGGCTGCCGCGGCCTCTGCTACCTGCTTTTCACGATCGAGCTCAGCCAGGTGTCTCTGGCGCGTTTGATGGAAGACCGATTGACATCACAATCATTTTTTTCAACTTGTGTGTGTGTGTGGTGAGAAGTGGTGAGTTGGTATTTTGAGCAGCTCATGTCACCACAATGTCACTCGGTCAGCTGACGGAGCCAGCGACAGCAAATGAATGCTGAGTAGCGTGAAAGCACCTGGAATCCAAGATGGCGCGGTTTCGCGCGGGCAGCAAACCGCTTGAGCTTGCCCATCCCGTCTTCGTCACAGTAGCAGCTAAGAAGAAGAGGGTTCAGAACCGGCGCCACGTCAAGGATCAAGTGATCCAATCTTAGATGCACAAAACGCAACTCAAGAACCCAACCTGTTCAAGTACCCCTGCAATCATGCTGGGCCCACAAACCCACAAAACAACATGACTGAAAACAAGTTGGCAACCCACAAACCAAGGAACCGATGAAGTTTCGGCCTGATTTTCCAGAGAAGTTTCTCGGCACGGACTGCCTCTTCAGCAAGGCCTGAACTCAGCACAACTTAATGTGTGTAGACGGAGCATTCACAAGCCATCAAGGCCGCACATTCAGCCAAAGAGCAATTAAGAGCATTGTGGAACAAGAAGTTTGCCTTCTGAAGGCCCATCAAGTGCTCCGGGGTCAAAGTCACCAGCGGATTTCTCTTGGGACTTACGCAGTCCCTCATGATGCAAAGATTGATGAAGATCGCAGCACGCAACCTGGGTCTCAACTTTGCAATGCCAAGCTTCCAAGGTTATGGAAAAACACATCCAAACTCCAGACGGGTGACATTGCATGCTCATCCGAAGGATTATTATGAGCGATTTCCACAGTGATTGATCGAAGCCACCGGCACAGGACAACGGATTCCTTTGAGCGCCAAAGAACACTCCAAATGAAACCCAAAGCTGCTTACAAGCAAACTGAACATAATGCGTCACACATGCCAGGGGGCAGCCCCATTGAAGTGCTTTTGGGCCAGGCTCGGGTAGTCCTTGGCCCCTCCTGCTCGAAGATGCTTCCTTAAAGTTGACATCCTCACTAAACAAGTTTCTGTCGACTATCTGGTGTACGCCAAGCTTCGTGGAAAAGACTTGTCCTCTAGAGCCTTGGTGTCTGAAGGCTTGATCAGATGTAAGAAACCCTATAGCGACAAGCTGGTTTGCACACATGATAAATTATGATCAAAGGAGCGAATCTTCAATCTCTTGCACTCCTTCTGAAACTGAATAAAGGCCCTCCTCAGCTTCTCATCACCAGTGCCTTCACCAAAGTAGTTGCCCTCTTCAATCAATTCAATGAGACACGACGCTGATGCCTCTGGTATCAAAGACAGGTCCATGATATGTAGCCAGTCCGGCTGGACAAAAGAGCTGCTGAAGCCTGGGATCCTCGTAAAGGTCTGCTGCGAACATATATCTTCCAGGAACTCTCTGTACTCAAGATCGTGGCTCGGTGAGAAGCTGTCGGCCCGTGCTCTGTATAGACACCTTGTCCCGATGCAGTCGCCTTGCACCCAATGCAGACAAAGTTGCCAACTGCTGAGTGCAAGGTCTTGAAGCACTTCTGCATCCATTTTTCGTCGCCTTTATGAATCACGTACACGCCTCTCCAACCTCCAGCTATCAAGCCAGTCCGGTCTGGCAGCTCTTCACCAAAGGGCCCACGGTCTAAGAAGTGTCCGCACTGAAGCTCAGTGAGACTGTACGCTAGCCACGTGTCAAGCACGGCAGTAGTTTCAGAAGTTGTCTGGTGATTGTCCACAACATATACAGGCACTCTGCAATCCCAAAACTCTCCATGACACACAGCCGATCCAAAAGTCACCAAACCAAAAGTTCTTCTTCTGTGGCTGTCGGCGTCATCGCCGTGAATCAGAATGGGAATTGTTTTGGAAAGGTCAGTCGCCTCAGGCCGTAATGTCTTGCAATGGATGGAGAGTGCTCCCAAACAAAAACAAAATTCTAAAGGCCCAAAACAAAACGATCCAGAACAATCAAAGCAAGCTGCAGGGTTTGAGAGGATTGGATGATCCTTGAAGTATGGTTGATTGCGCTGGGAGTTCCAAAAGGCTTCAATAGCCTTTGTCAAAACACATGTGTCAGCCACCCACTTGCGCACAACTCAATTCAAAACATTTCGCCGAGCCACACCAGGTGGTCCAATGAATAGTTTCTGAAATAATTCAAACTTGTAGTGGTAGACACTGTGAAACCTGATCAATTAATAAAAACCCTTTGGTGCAGCCCAAGTATGACAAAAGGGCAGCCTGAAAAGAGGCAGCCAAGGAACACATCCGAAGGTAGGAACACATGCCACACATCTTTAAAGTGCGGTCGTTCCTCCCGAAGATCAGTCAAGACAACTTCAATCCTGAGACTCTCGCAATCAATATTCAGCTCCTGAGGAGTGATCAAGCCCTCCGAATCTCAAAACATCCAAGATACTCACGTGGCCATGGTAGCATGGCTCTCCACGGCTGCTTCTTCAGCCAGGCCCAGAATTTGCGGCACACATTGGATGGCACCACTGAGGATCCATCCTGAGGATCAGTCGAATCGCAAAGATCTCGCAAGTTCTTCCTCGGATATGGAAAAAAACAGTGGTAACTATCCCGGCTCAAGTGCTGCACACATGCATTAAAAACGATCACATGCAGAAATGCAAGGCGCGGTAAAAATCTGCCAGGCACTCTCGTCCGGATTGCCAAAAGCAGTGCATACACAGTATT